AAGGTAATTATTGAGATAGTTGGATTAATACCTACCATATTTGTTATAGTTCCTATTTGTCTTATTTTTCTTTTACTCTTTTTCTGCCTTCTCTCATCTTAATTAAGCTTTTTATATTTCATTTTTTTTTCTCCTTTCTTAGCATATCAATAGTGCTGCTTTTAAAAATTTTCTTTAGTGGTTGCCTTTGTGTTTCCAGTGCATTCACAGTTTGTCCAAGTCCTCTTTAAAATAACCTTATATTACTTGATAGGTAGTATAGGCACCTCATAGTAGTATTCCCAGGTCCTCCCTTCCATTCCTTATAACATTATTATTATTCATTTTACTCACCCACAAGCTATAATCACTGAAAACATTATTGCTGTTACTTTGAACCAACTGTTAACAGTTAAGTCAATTAGTAAGAAAAATAAAAGATTTTATTTTACCTTAATGTATTCTTTTCTAATGTTCTTCCTTTATGTAGTTCTGAGTTTCTTTCTTGTATCATTTGTCTTCTTTCTGAAGAATTTCTTTGGCCTTTGGCAAGGCAGATCTACTGGGCACAAATTTCTCCAATTTTTGTTTGTTTGAGATTGTTTTTATTTCTCCGTCACTTTTGAAGAATAATTTTGTTCGATGTGGAATTTTAGTTGACACATTTCTTCAATTTTTGTTTGTTTGAGAATGTTTTTCTTTCTCTGTCATTTTTGAAGAATAATTTTTTGCTGGAGATGGAATTTTAGGTTGATGGGTTTTTTCTTTCAACATTTAAAATATTTCATTCCACTCTCTTTTTGCTTGTATGGTTTCTTAAGAGAAATAAGATGTAATGTTTTATCTTTGATACTATATAGGTAACGTGTTTTTCCCTCTGGCTTCTATCAAGATTTTCTTTTTGTCTTTGATTCTCAGCAGTTTGAATGTGATATACCTAGGTGTAGGTGTTTTGGTATTTACTTTTTTTGGTGTCCCTCAAGTTTCCTGGATCTGTAGTTTTCATATCTATTATTAATTGGGGGAAATTTCAGTCATTTTTACTTCAAATATTTCTTGTGTTCCATTCTCTTTTTGTTGTTGTTTCTGGTATTTCCATTGCATATATGTTAACACGTTTTGTAATTGTCCCACAGTTTTGGGGTATTCTGTCCCTTTTTTTTCTTTGCCTATTTTGGTTTTGGAAGTTTCCATTGACATACCTTCAAACTCATTAATTCACTGCTCGGCCATGTCCTGCGTACTGATGAGCCTATCAGAGGTATTCTTTATTTCTGTTCACTGTTTTTGGTTTTGTGCATTTACTTTTGATGTTTTCTAGAATTTCTATTTTTGTCCACTGACTTAAAATCTCGATTTTAATAATTATTAGGTCTATATTTGGGACTTGTTTTCTAGTGTATGTTATATTACAGTGTTCTGTCTGTTCCTGTGTTATGCTAGGTCATATTAATTTCTGGTAGGACAAAGAGTTTATTTATTTATATAAATGTTTTGGCTGGTACTCTGGTTTTCATTTTCTTCAAGATGAATTTTGGAATTATCTTGTCAACTTGAGTGTTCTTTCAGCAAAAGAAAACAAAAACGAATCATTGGTCCTTTTATTGAAATTATTTTATAATACAGAATTTCACAATTTGGTATTTCTTAATGAATTTGCATAATTCTTGTTAAACTTTATTTCTGATTATTTGTAGTATAATTTTTTCTATTGTGGAGTCATTTAAATTTTATTTTCTAATTGTTGCTGGCATGTATGAAGTCTTTTGCTTTTTGTATATAATTTTCTCTAACTGATTTTTTCTCTGTTTATTCTTTTGGATTTTCAGGACAGTCACCTTATCTACTAATAATTATATTTTTGTGTCTTTTAATGTTTATACTTTATCTTTCATTTTACATACTGACTTCTAGAACAGTCAGTAATAATGAATGTTTTTGTTTTGTGTACAGCGCCTGGCATTTTACTAGTAAATATGTTATTAGTTTTGGTTTCAGAGAGACACCATTATAAACGTTTAAGAAAGAATCCTCCTATTGGAAGTTTACTATGAGATCTTTGCTCTCTTTAATTAGAAACTGATCATGAACTTTCTTCAGATGCCTTTTTTTCTGGCATATTGATAGTTTTTTCCTTTGCCATAGATATATTGGATTTTATTAACTTTTCCATCCTTTTTTTTTTTGAAATTTTATTGGGGAACAGTGTGTTTTTCCAGGACCCATCAGCTCCAAGTCAAGTAGATGGAGGGTGCAGTTCAGCTCCAAGTCCAGATGCCATTTTCAATCTAGTTGCAGAGGGGCGCAGCCCACCATCCCATGTGGGAACTGAACCGGCAACCTTGTTGTTCAGAGCATGCACTCTAACCAACTGAGCCATCTGGCCACCCCTATCTTTTGCATTCTTGAATTGCTAAACTAAACTCCACTTGATTTAGATATTTTTTGGTGTAGCTTTGGATTCAATTTGTGCAAGTTTCATGTATGATTTTTGAATCTCTCATATGTACACTTGAATATGTGCTATGTTACTTTAGGTTTTGGTAGCAAGATGAAGCTGGTTTTATAACTTATAAAGTTGTAATTTTTATGCTTTCAAATGCTCTGGAGCTGTACAGACAGAATTAAATTATATGTTTGTTGAAGGTTTAAAAGAAGTCATTTAAAGTCCAACTGGACCCAGATTTTTTTTTTT